GAATGCTGAGTTCTGTATCTCATTTTCTGTCAGCTACTCTTTGCATGTCATTACTTAGATACTAGGATCTCATAATTTGGACAATAATAGAGGGTATGATAACTTGCTTCTTAGTTGAATAAAACTCCGTTTCTTCTCTTTGTCACAATGGACCTTAACACCTTTTTGTTCTTTCTCTCCAGAGGTGTTGCCCATGTTTCCGGTGTGGGTGGTGGTGGGTATCGTGACCGCTGTGGTTGTGGGGCTCACCCTCCTCATCAGCATGATCCTGGCTGTCCTCTACAGAAGGAGAAGCTCGAAGCGGGATTACACCGGGTGAGAAACTGCTTCCGGGAAGGGGAGCGGGGAGGGACCAGGGTTTACAAAAACGTCTGTATTTTTTATGGAGAAAAGAATTGGGAAGAGTTTGCTACTAGTACAGTTTGCTTTAATGCCAGAATCAGGCAGTCTGCTTAGGTGGTTAGTGGCCTGCTGGTCAGTGTGGGATTGGACACAAATCCCTGTTTCCCAGTTTCTTCCCCAGATTTGCTGCAGCCAGCGGCTCAGAGGTCCGGGCTCTGTTTCAGTACCAGCCACTCTGCCAGTGGCATTATTAAGCCACAGACATCACTTACCCAGTTTCAGAGTTTAATTTTTATCTCTTGGCAATAATCTCATCAGGTGCTTCTTTTCAGTTAGGCAGCTATAAAGCAAATCAAGAAGAGTTGTGCTCATAAATGACGCCCCACCCCAGTGGGATGGCACAGGATAGGGCTTCTTTTTTTTATGGTTTTGCTGGCAAGTGAATGACTTTGATCTTTCTTGAATGTATGGCTGGACTCATCGCAATGGAGATAATAAGGGTTGAAAACCAACTTACACCGGCAGTAAAGAAACGTAGATCTTTTTGTTTATGTCTTCTCAAAGAGAATACCCTTGAACTCGGGGTGTGAGTCTAATTGAAGGACCTTCTCTTCTCCCTACGCCAGCTGGAAAGCTAACCCACATAAGCTAAGTAGGACTCACATGGTAAGAGAGTGGAGGCCGATTCCTAACACGAGCTGGGCCCCAGGTGCACGGGCTAACCACAGCCACCCAGAGGGACTGTGCTCTGAGGCTGCATGCCCAACTGCTGCCTGGTGGATGCTGGGAACTTGCGCTCGCTCTCTCTCTCTCTCTCTCTCTCTCTCTCTCTCGGCTCTGAGGTTCTAGTTTTTAGAAGGAGTGCTGTGTTTTAATGAGCTTGAGTGTTCAAATTTAGATTTTACTTGCTTGGAATGCCTCTGTCCTGCTGACCTGTATCTACCCTCTTGCATGGTGAGTGTTTTTTGATGACATATATCTGGAGTGTTGGTTTTCAACATGAGACTAATCCAAAGTGGTGACATGCCGGACTCTGTAGTTCTTGCTCTTGGGTTACTAAAGGGGCGGAGCGCGTGCCTTCGAATCCTGCATGGCATCGTGAATGCTGCTGTTCTTCTTACTTAGGTGCCCCTCCCCTGCCTTTCCACCTCGTGTGCCGGGATAGATCCTGCTTATCCTCCACTTGTTCAGAAAAGCTGACCCTGGGACTGTCACAGGGCTGGCTCTCCTACTCCCACTAGACACATGGTAACTAATCCCATTGCCCGTGGCTGTTAATACTCGTGTGTGTGTTCGGCCCGTCTCCCTAGGTGGCAACTAACCAGCTAGCTCTGAGCTAACCCAGCAGCTATTATGATTTGTCCACCGATAAGTCCGTGTCTATTTTAGAAACATACTGAGCACATCAACCCAGTGAGATGGGGTTGTCAAGTTACATTGAGACTTGAGATCATCAGAAAATGCATGTTCTTCATGTAAAACGTGTGTGTGTGTGTGTGTGTGTGTGTGTGTGTCAGTTTTCTTTTTTCATATGTGAATTGTATTATTAATGATTGGGACACTCTTTGTGTTAGAATAGTCAAACCATTTTGGTTTGGGTCATAAAACCTCCCGTTTCAGAGAAGCACAGTAGCGAATTCATTGGGTGCTTCAGTCTTAAGAGTGACACTTAAAATGGGATCCTCCCAAAAATTCCTCTAAGATTTAAAAAACATACATCATAAAGGATTTAAGCTCCACTGACAACACATCCCATTAGGAAATCGCTGATGAGTGATCGCCCAGCATTCGCTTTCCCTGATTTATGTATGAGATCGGGCTTGTTGAGGATCCCTGCCCAGAAGGGCTCAGCCCGTGTGATGGGCATCCCACAGCTTCTTGTCACTCGCACCTGCGTCTTCTTTAGTTTGGTCATTGTCTCGGGGAAACAACATATGGGAACCAGGGAATGGAAGGAGTGAGACAAACCAAGACTCTGAGCCTGAGTGTATATCTGTAATTTTTGAAATGCATTCAGAAGAGGTTTGCCTTTGATGCTCACTAAAGTGAATTGCCTTTAGGAAGGTATAGCTGCTCCCTTAAATCTTTATCCCAAAGGAGGGCAGATGGCAGAGGGAAAAGGTGGGGGACGAAGGATACACAGCAAGGATCCGCCCGGCTGATGTCGCTCTGGCAAACAGGCCAAGGGCTCCCTCCCCAGCCATAGCGTCACAGATGTGGAACCACAAGCATCAGGAAGACAGTTTCAATATACGTGATTCTTTCCATACCATCGTTTTGTTGTTTTGTTCATGTCCACCTGCTGCTGCTTTGCCTCGCCATCACTTGCATTTCTGTATTTTTGTTTCCATTTGTTTAAAAACATTCTTTTTTTACATTTGTTCTCCAATTTGCCGACTGATCAGCTGCAGCACCTCAGAGAGTGTGTCACCGGTTAAGCAGGCTCCGCGGAAGTTCCCCTCCGACACAGAGGGTCTAGTAAAGAGCCTGCCTTCTGGATCTCACCAGGTAACACTGGCTGCCCCGGGCTGTGCAGGTGGGCGCTGCCACCACCCTGGGGCGGGAGGGAGTGCTGAGCCGAGGCACAGGGAGATACTGACAGCCAGACAGATGGAGACAGAAAGAGAGGGAAAGGAGTTAAGGAATCTGATCTGAGCGAAGGTTCCCACCAGAGCACCACTAACAGACTGTGCCCTTTTGATGTGGCTCCCATGGCCAACGTAGAGTCGAGTCGGGAGATGGCTTTGGCAGCCATAAAAGGTTCCTTAATTGCTCAGGGAACTAAATCCAGTGAATTGCATTCCTCACTGAGGTGCTTTAAAGACAAGGAGTCAGCAGGGGACGTTGATCTTGGTATTGATAATAAACAGAAAAATTATTTTGCATGAATTCTTTTTAAAAAAATATATATTTTATTGATTTTTTACAGAGAGGAGGGGAGAGGAATAGAGAGTTAGAAACATCGATGAGAAACATC